GAGATTAAAAAACAATGCCAAGAAAAGGTGTTATGAGGGTGTGTTCACGTTTTTCCAACATTTGATAATTAGACTCAAACAACATTAGGGATGGATTAGGGGGTTCTCTTAAGGACTGGCATCTTGATATTTACCTGGAATTCACCTGTTTCAGTTCCTAGCTAAAATATTGTAATAAAGGGGATATTGTTTAAAAATCATATATATCAAAACATTAACAAAACATATTTTTTTTTTTTTACATTAATTGGTTTTTCATAGATTTTTGGTTGAATATAACCAGAAAATGGTACGTAATTATTTTATCAGTGTTTGAATTACAAAATTAAAAAGTTATTTAACAAAAGAAATCCATAAATAAACAAGGAAAATTCAAACATTTTTCCTTCAACTGTGAAAATTTCATAAAAATTTATCAAGAAATAATCTCAAAATGATTTTTTGGAAAAAAATTAATTTTATTCATTCTATTACTTGATATGTTTTTGTATTTCTGTTACATGTATGTATATATCCAAATCTAAACCGATGCGCAACAACGAAGTTTTATGTACGTATATAGTCATCGAAACTGTTGTCTTCTAGTGCGAATAACCATATATCATCTACCTAGTCGTTCTGTCTGTATATCATAAGAGCCGAAGTCAATGTTCTTGGCATGCTGTCTCAAGCAGATGTCAGTCGTATATTGGTTCACTTTTTCCACGAAAACGGGAGAATACAAATTGGGTATATTAACACGTGAACTGTAGGGTATTTAACTGTGGGAGAACTGGCTTGTTGAATTGTGAGCTTCTAGTATTCTCGATTTGTCACGTACCCTTTGGAAAATTAAAGCAAGCTGACTAAGAAATTTAAATATACTACATCTTTGATAATAAGCAGCGTTTTATATAAGTTAATGACTCAAGCTATATAAATTCTTAAAAGCTCTCAGAATATAAAATGTTTATTTTTATTCAAGATCGCAACATTGTAATTTATAATACATTATTATGGAAAATAGAGAAAGAAATATGATAACAAAGTAAAATTAAAATTGACATCACTGTGCCAGATTATATCGACTAAAATCTTAGAAAACTCTTTTTTTTTTAAATATGAAAAACAAATTATTGTAAGAACAAATATGTTTTGTTAATATTTTACAATAAATCTTTGAAGAAAAACCTTTTTACAATATTCTAATTAAGAAATGAAACAGGTGAATTGCAGGTAAATATCAAGATGACAGTCCTTAAGAGGACCCATTAATCCCTTATGTTGTTTTAGTCTAATTATCAAATGTTGGAGAAACGTGAACAAACCGTTATGAGATCTTATATAATATAATTTATAAAAGGATAATACCTATTGGTGCATTTTAACTATTAAGTAGATTATACCTTAATTTTATGATTGCTTTTTTTTAAATTCTGACATCTAAAGGGGGATCAAAATATCATGGATAAGAAAGAGCATTGTAATACCATTCCTTACATATGTTTTTATGCCCCCGCGACAAAATTTCGAGGGGCATATTAATTTATCCCTGTCCGTCCGTCCGTTCGTCCGTCCGGGTATAAATACATGATATGTCCGGCTGTCTCCTCCTACAGTTTTTGAGCTACAGCTTTAATATTTTGTATGATGTTTCTAAACATAATAGAGTTGTGCATGTGCACAGGAGTTTAATTGTTTTCAAATATTCTCAAAATGCCAGGTATTTGGACTTAGTCATATTTTGGTACTAGCTGCATAAAGAGATCATGGTTTGTCCGGCTATCTCCTCCTAAGTTTTTTTAGCTACAGCTTTAATATTTTGTAGGATGTTTCTACACCTAATAGAGTTGTGCATGTCCACAGGATTTTGATTTTTATCTAAATATTTCCAAAATGCCAGGTATTGGGACTTAGTCATATTTTTGTAATAAAAGTCAGAAAGGGGGGATTTAGATATTCACAAAAACCGGTAGTTGGACTTCATTTCCTTCACACTTGCTATATAATTTCAAACATGGTTTTATGCAACGAATAAGAGTTTTTAGTATTGTCAAATATTTAATCAATACCGGGAAGTTGAACTTGGTGACCACTGGAAATAGAAAGTTGACCTTGGTGACTACTAAAACTGGAAAGTTGAAACATTTTGGTTGGACATTCAGTTCTGCAAGTGTCGACATTCAGAATAAGAATAAAAGATAGATCATCAGACATAGTGTTAAATTTATAATTTCTTATGGTAAGGCGGGGGCATCATTTGTGTCTTACAGAGAGCGCAACAATTTCAAGTTGTACTTCAACATCACTGTTTGTCAAATCTAAAAGTATGTGGAACTATACTCATGCATATGTCAGAGCAGGGAGTTGGGCATCGTCCATTTCTAGTTTGATTAAAAAACATGTGCTGTGACATTTTTTCTAACAAATTTGATTTAATCGGGATGTTATTGCATTATAAGTAGAACACGAAAAGTAAGAATTTCAACTTCTAACAAAATTTGAAATTCTGTCATCTAAAAGATATCATAAAATATGTTTGAATACCATTCTATTTCTTATTTAATGTATTTTGACAATTAATCAACTCTTTAGATATCAGAATTTTAAAATCGTAGCTATCAAATCTTCTTTATGAATAAAAAATGCTTTGGATACTATCCTAACTGCTGTCAAATTTTTCTTTATCTAGAAATATGCTTTTTCGTTAGTATTTAAGACCGTGCGCTCCACCTAGAGCCAAATAGTAAATAATGTTGTCACAACCACATCTCAGCTGAAGGCCTCCCTGAATATTTGAAGGTCCTTACGATGTAGGCTACCTAAATTTCACCAAAAAAAACCTTCAAATTTCGTTTCATTTCGGCTTTTAGTAAATGCACTACGACTACTCTTTCTGCTCTTGTTAACTATATAAAAATAAGCAGATACGGTATGATAACTGGTTCCCTTACTTCTATTTAAAACTTGTTTGTAATAAAGCATATGACAATAATGGAGTTAATTATTTTTGGAGTGTCAAAAACTCTTAGGATGTTTTGGATAAATTACGTGTTTTTGATGTTCCATATCAAAGTATTAAACCTACTTTTTTCTAGTTATAATGCTCCAATGTAGTTATGGATGCCCAAATACCGCTTATGACACAAATGACCGCAAAGAAAACTAAATATTTGCAAGGTATACATGTCTTGGCAGGTTCATCTGGAACTAGGTCCATTTGTTAGAAACTGTAAGTTATAAGTTAACTGTATTTGCAATATATAATGATTATAACGTTAACAGGGTTTATCTGAACTTTACCTCATTTTCAAGCATCAGTGGTGGGCAACTTCATGTTTGAGTAATTAAGTCTGTTTACCAGAGAGGATTAATCATAACCTGTATTTCAATTTCAATTTGTCATACGTAAACGAATTTTTAACTGTTGCAATTGAGTTTCCTTCTTGACGCGAAGCGGACCTTGGTAAACAGTAATTTGCTATAGTAAAACTGTGGTTATCGCCATTTTAGTCAGAGAGAAAACCAAACTTTCGATTTCAGTATAAAAATCTGACAAATTGATATTATTAAACAAGATGTGGTATGATTGCCAATGCGACAACCCTCCGCCAGAGACCAAATGACATAAAAGTTAGCAGCTATAGGTAATCATACGGCCTTTAACTACGAGAAAAACGCATACCGCATAATAAGCTCTAAATTACCCCGACATGGCAAGTTTAAAACAATTCAAACGAGAAAACACACGGCCTGATTAATGTACAAAACATAAACGAAAAACAAATCTGATATAAAGAAACAAAAGACTACCACCGAATAACAGGCTGCTGACTTTGAAAGGCACATACAAAATCTTAAGCACGTTTGCAGGTACACAACCCTCCCCCTTACCTGGGATAGTGGCGTGACAGCAGAACATACGCACACACTATAAAAATTCGTGACTCATGAAGTCGATACAAATCATATAACAAAAATTCACAAGAAGACGTTGGACACAAAGTGCAGAATTGAGAGTACTCGCAGTTACTGAAAGTTGTTCCAATCCAATCGCAATTAATAAAATAAAGAGCTGCGCCATGAGCGCATGATACACCCGTCACTTTTTCAAAGAATAAAGTTCCATTGCTCCTCAATGTCATATCAGAAATTTATAAAAAAAACAAAACTAAAGGGAGGTTGTTTTAATAGATATAAAACTGTCACCAAAGTTTCATGAAAACTGCTCAAAGCACTTTTGAGTTATTGTCCGAAATCTAGAAAAAACCCTTTTTTATGAAAAAAATCCCATAACTCGAAAACGTAAAATCTAAAATTAATAAAAATTGAAAGGGAGCTTACGTCAGTAGATATAAACATTCACCAAAGTTTCAGGAAAACTGCTCAAAGCATTTTTGAGTTTTTGTCCGAAAACTGGAAAATCCCCCTTTTTTAATGAATAAAACCCCCATAACTCGGAAACGTAAAATCTAAGATTTATAAAATTCGTAAAGGAGTTCACGTCAATAGATATAAACAATTCACCAAAGTTTCATGCAAATTGGTTTAAGCGTTTTTGAGTTATTGTCCGACATGTTGACGACGGACGGACAGACGGACGGACAACGGTATACCATAATACGTCCCGCAAACGGGCGTATAAAAATCATGCATGAAACTAAACTGAAATAATAATATTTACACATCCATTGGCTTAAGTGTACAGATGTCATAAACAGTCAAAGAAAACATGATCTTGAGTATAGTTCGTGTTTGCTTCAGAATAGAATAAATTTTGACAAAAGGATGATTTGCAGTTGAAAATGTGATTATTTTGTATATAATCAATGGCAAATGGAATAACTTTAAAATAAATTCCGAAATTCGACCTGGCGGTTCCTCTTATTTGCAAACACGTAAATCGTGGATATTATACCTCGATATACATGACGTCGTCCAATTAAGGTCGTCGATACAAACAAACTGCATTATAATAAGAATTTGACTGAAAACTTCCATTTTTTTCTTATTTAACAAACCTTTACTGTCCAAATGTTTTGTTTTGTTTGTATCTAGTCTAGTGTTTAAAACATGTGCAGATGATTCAGAACAAATCTTTTTCACATCAATTGTATCGGACGATGTTTCATCTTCTACACCCGTTCCATCATCTAAAATAGAGTAAAAGATGTTTTTACATCTATTGTCAAAGAAGTAGGGCGATCATTTGCATTAAATATTTGTCTTCATTGATTTACCAAGCAAGGACACATATTTTGCAAACACAAAAACGCATCAAAGATCACATGCTTATTATTTGTTACAAGTCATATTCCTGACATGGTACGGGCATTTTCTTTTGTAGAAAATGGTGGATTTCATTTAAGACTAAGTAGGCAATTTCGGATCCTAAAAATTTCCTCCTTAAGGTAGGTTTTTTTTCAAACTAGAGAGGTCAGTATTTCTTGACTTTAGATAACACATCAATGCACAGATTTACACACACATTTGTAGATGTATCTTATCAAGAACGATAGTGCATCTAATAAGGATACTTCTAGTATTTGTTTTTGCTTTAAAAAAAGGGGATGGATCATATTCCAATACATTTGTTTTCAATTTTTGTTTATTTATGTATGAAAATGTAAATAACATTTGATAGATAATATATTTGTTTTGTTTTTTAACTGTGAAAACAAGAGGAGTGTAGTGATTCTATCCTCAGACACAATAACCTAGCAGTGGATGCACATGAGACAACAGTCTAGGGAAATACGTTATCTGATGCAAATCATAAAATCTCCCTATATATAAACGAAAAACGTACACTGGAGAGAATTTACTCCAATAATCTCATAAATTATTAGTTTAATCCGGATATGAATTTAACGTCGATCACGATAATGATAAAAGCAGACGTTTAAGATCAAGTAAGAGTAAATGGGCTATGTAACAGATTATGGTAAATTTTGCATAAAACTTTGGCTCGTTGGTCTATAACTAACAAAGTAACGCATTTATCTCTTTTAACTTCTGAACTATTACTGATTGAATCCTATCAAAATAGATGCACATTTGGATAGAAAGCATACAAATGGGCAAACAACGTTCTTAAATATGTCTGAAAAATTATTAAATCTCCAAATACCAATGCATATATTTTTCTTCTTGATGATACATAACATTTTAATGATGTAAAATAATAAAAAGGTCACTGAAGTCGCATCACTTCGATGAATTTAAATTTCAATTAGCCATTTCAACTTTGCCTGTGGGAGTTGAAATTTTATTTTTTTAAAAATATCTTAATTTATCAACCGAGAAATTTAAGAAAAGTATGTGAGATACGCAATAAGGGTGCCGAGGCATAGAAGACTGAGCTAATGCTAACATATAGGGGCGAACAATAGACCATCAGTGGCATCGACCAAGTGCTAGAAAAGAAAATACAACTCATTAAATTTAGTGCCTCAGAACGCTTATCTCCCTCACCAGGAACGCTCAAACCCACAAATGTGTGCGTGTGTTTGAGAGAGAGAGAGAGAGAGAGAGAGAGAGAGAGAGAGAGAGAGAGAGAGAGACTGATTGTGTTCGTTTGCTGCGAGAGAGATAGAGTATATGTCAATGAGTTATATGAGTCAGGTAGAAGGAGTTGGTTAAATATATTGTCAGTGCCGACGCACAGACTTCTAAGCTGGTAATACTTTCGGGACTAACAGTCAACCAGCAGTGGTGTATCGACCCTGTGCTGGGAAATTAAACTAAAATGTTAATAAAGTTTGCGTCTGAAGCGCTTTTCTGGGTGTATCTTCATCAGAAATGCTCAAATCCAAAACATTTCAAACCAGAGATGTATAAATACTTTAATACTTGCGGAGCTAATTAGCCAAAAAGGACCAAAAGATAATAACCGATAATATTTGCTTAGATACCTCAACTTATAGTTCTATTTTTAACTCCCAAATGGTTTCTGTGGTTCATTGGATCCTATGTTTGACGCACTCGAAAAATGTAAAATGAAAAAAAAGTCACTTTTAAAAACAAAACTGAAATTATTTGAATAAAGGCTTTTCTTACTGAAATATGAAATTTAAAGGAATCTAACTTTGCCAAAAAAATCAAACAATATAAGATAAATATGAATGATGGATTTTTATTATAAATTCGTTTCTAATGAGTAATAATTTGTTGCACTGCCTTTTATTGGTAACGGATATTTTATCGGGTAAAATTAAAAGTTTAACAATCCAAACAGAACAATGTCATATTAATAATTGCGTCAAGACGGTTTATTTTGTTGCCTTAATATTTGTCATTATAGATTCTTTATTAAGGTATGTATCATGTATTAAGTATGCAAACAAACTCATCATAGATACCAGGATTGAAAATTTGTATTTGCGCCAGACGCGCGTTTCGTCTACAATTGATGTAAAAACTTAGAATCTAAGGTGTTTCTTCAGAATCATAGTTATACTATCACCAGGTGGCGCTTGGTTGTGTAAATCTATAACAATAAAAAGACACTTGGCTGTTTTACCACGTACGGTATGATTATTGTATAGTGTGGCTGTACAAACACTTTTTTGTTTGATTATTACAGGGAATGTTGTGCATATCAGATCTCTAAAGAACCTTTTCAAATACAATTTTCATTCGATTGATTGCTAAGGCCCATTTTACTTTATATTTGATATTTTACATTTTCTTTCATTGTCAAAAGAAAGTGTCCATTTAATTGTCATTATTGTTCGATTGGCTTTAAAGCCAGAACATTTTTTCCTACCTTTATATAGTGTATGGTATTTTTCTGTCATATTTTAATCGTCATACTATTTGCAGGACTTAATTAAAACACACACTCAAGATATCACATTGCACCTACACGACGTATTAGATATTTATAAGGTTAGCAGTTCTGTAATAGAAATGTTTTGATATTTTTCTTACGGCGTGCAAAAATTTGAAATTTCTCAACGATAACAGGTTCTACTGGTTTGATAACAGCTGAAGTAACAATGCTGGTCCAGTACCTTATTGTTTATAATAAAGTTATAAGTTGTCCATGTTTAAATTGGAATTTTTTTTTTTTTGTTCATTCAAAGGCTTCTACAAGTTATATATGTTGAAGTTTTGGCTTATACCTATTAGTAAACACGCAATAAAACATTACATGTAATCCTAAAATACGTACCAAGTAAGGTACAGTATTATGACCGCCGTCGTTCTTTTTTTTTGTTTGTTTTGATAGTCATTTACTGTTTGTTCTCGTTTGAATTTTTAAAATGATCCGTTCTGTTTCACGTATGTTTTGTTTAAAATGCTTGAGTAGTTTTGGACCATTTCTGATAAGTTCGCTGCAAAAAATAGAACCCTTAGGTAATAAACCGAATGTTTTCAAGACGACATCATTACATGGATTACAATCACTGAGTATTTTTGCCACGAATCAACTTTGCTAAGATCTATTTACAGTCCAGTCCTCTAATTGACGATTTTAGCTTATCGCCGAAAGTAGCTAATTTTTCATATTTTACTAGTGATGAAAATTCATAATTAGTGTTTCTGTGGGAGAAGAAGCTGCTCAGCCTTCTGAAGCTTTTGATGTTACCCTCGATATTTGTCTGTCCATCCCTTTTCTTGTGACCAGGGTGCTGTTCGTTGTTTTGAATTTACGACTTTGCATTGTCTTTTTGTTAATTGAATATATATTTTTAAATGATGCGGCGAAAACCAAACTGAAGATAATCATTGTAAGTTCTTTTTCTTTTATGTAGTTTGAATTAAAAGTAACTGTTACTAATCAGTAAAATTGTAATCTACTGGGCCCAGCATTTTTGAAAAATATTGTGTGGTACTATTTTTCTTTGCTATATAATGTTCATTATCACATAACTTGAGTTTGTATATATAGTATGTATAGATAAGATGTGTATTGAACACTCATAGAACAAATGCTCTATAATTTCATCAGAAGCCTTACGTACAAAGCTTTGAATCTTTTCGTTTCAATTTATAGAATAAGGTATTAGTTGCAATTATTCTATGCAAAAATTGTATAAAAAGATCTTAAATAAGTGTCATTACATGATTTTCCTAAAATACTGTAATATTCTGACCAATATGCAATTTACATACCTAGTGATTCCTCCCCTTGCAAGAACTTTTCAGTTGGCGGTTGCACATTTCTGTCAAAAAGATCTTTCCCGACGGGTGCCACATGTGGAGCCGTTTCTGCTGACCCTTCCGGAGCACCTGAGATCACCCTACGATTTTAGTGGGGTTCGTGTTGCCCAGTCTTTAGTTTTCTTTGTTGTGTTTTGTGTACTGTTTGTCTTTGCGTCTTTTTTTCGTTTTTTTGCCATGGCATTGTCAGTTTGTTTTCGACTTATGAGTTTGAAAATCCCTTTGGCATCATTCACCTGTCTTTTACAACCACTAGGTCGATGTCTCTGGTGTCATGAAATTACATCGCCTACTATGATATTAGGCACTGGATTATAAAGGTCTGACTTGGATATGAAACTTCTATTCTAATGACATTTTATACATAATTAGTTCTAAACATTGTTTTGTTGGTCAATAATTTATTGTTTTGTTTTTTAAGTTATTGCGTAATTGTCATTTGGATATTTTTTCTGTAGCAATTACTGATTTTCTAATATTATGTTCTGTAGACTATCAACTTCCTTCATATTGACATTTTGCAAGTGCTGTACACATTATTTTCAAAAGTATTCAACAATTTTAATGTGTTTTAAAAGAACACTCAAATTTATTTTTAAGATGAGTGAAATTTTTGAAAAAAAACTTGAAAACATATCAAGGGACACAATCAAAGTTGTGTAAATCAGATTCCTCTGTGAATGGAGCGGGTATCATCAGCCCAGTAGTCAGCACTTCTGTGTTGACATGAATTATCATTGATATGGTCAAAATTATAAATTATCTGTTTATAAAAACTTGAATTGTTCAAAATACTAATAATTTTCTACCCCAGGAATAAATTACCTCACCTGTATTTGGAAAAATCTTTCAAAAGTTTGGTTCCTGAATGCTCTTCAACTTCCCACTTTAAAACTAATTATGTATAAAATGTCATTAGGATAGAAGTTTTCATATCCAAGTTAGACCTTTTTAAAACAAGTGCCTTATATCATAGTAGGTGATTATTTTATTTCATTTTCATGACACAGACATTAAATAACTGGATTTGCTAAATTGTTTTACCAGTTGATCAGTTTGTAGATGTGAATACATACTGCAATTGGGTAAAACTTTTTAAGCAATTGGTATAGTAATAGGCTAAAGCCATCTGGATAAGCACTGTAAGAACGATATACAGCCGGGTCGTCAAGATGTTCGACTAAACATCTTTTCTAAAGTTCTTACCACTTTTCTTTCTACAGAAAAATTGTAATGAGGAATATTCAACCAGCGGTACCACTAAGATGTGAATTTTTTTTAAATTCTTAAGATCTACTTCAAAATCTGCATTCACAATCTTTACATTTTTTTCTCAGTATTATCAAAACCTTTAATTTTCTACGCTTTACAACACTTTTTCCCATGCTCAATTGAAAGATCGACTACATCATCTCTTAAACATAGCTTTTCTTACAATAATGGGAAACGTACAAACATATCTCTTGTTTTGGGTCTAGCAAAATCCCACTTTGTAAAGAGCCACACTGATTCTAATAACAAATACACCGAAGATAATATCATCAAAATGTTGGACTTTTTGAACGTCAACATATCTGTTGAGTTGAGTAGATTGATATTTCAGCAGAAAGTTTGTATTCCAATTGGTGCTAAATGTGCAACACTACTGGCGCTTACCCTGTTGACACACCCGGTCTCGTTCCATTTGGAGTTCATGTGATTACCTCGGTTTTTGTTTGTTACCTTGATTGTTTCTTTCTTATCGATTCAACCATTAACTACTGTCGTATTGATTTAAATTCTTTTCTCTTTAGCAAATAAATATAATATTTCGTGGCAACTCTTAATATAAAAGGAAATCAAACCTGCTTGACCTAGATTTCCAATTTTGATGAGATGAATATCGTCACCTTTTTCTGTTAATGTTTTTTTTTCTGTCCTCGCATTGTTTCGGTGAATCGGTAAGAATTTGCGACAACTGTGAAATATGAGCAGTTGTTGCTGATGATTTGTTGTTATCTTTTTGTGAAATATCATCCTCTGTAAATGTATTTTACAACTATCATATGTCAAGCTACTTTATAACTATTAGATCTAAATTAAAAAACACCGAATATGATAAATTCTCCTTCAAATAAATTTATACTTTTTGGTATATACGAAGGTGAAGAGGAGTAAGTGAGGGGGGAAGAGGGAAGAGGGAAGGGGGGGGGGGGGGGGGGTTCTAAACATATATCTTTTAAGCCTTCTCTCTTCTCTTGTTATCTTCTGTACAGCTCAAATCTGTCATATTTACATTGTTGAATAATCAAAGATTCAAAGTAGAAAAAAAATTAAGCGAATCTTCAAATACATGTAATCTGATATCTGTTAAGCACAGGTTTCACCAGCGAAGATGAAAACGGTCTACCTTCCAGGACACCTATAACCAACTAAGTTTCGATATAATGTAGGGTATAATGTTTTTGACCAGTCTGTCTATCTGTCCGTCCGTCCGTCCGTACGTCCGTTCGTTCGTAAGTCAGTCAGTCCATCCGTCAGTCCTGTTCTGAAACCACACAACATAATTTCATGAAACTTTGTAGATAGTACGGACATTCCATGTGGACGTGCATATCTACAGGAAATTATGATTCTGAAAGGTATCTATCCCCTTTAAACTTAGAATTTGGACTTAATATACAACTGCAACAGTTTGTCATCGCAAGTCCTCAAACCACACAAAAGAATTTCATGACAGTTTGTTTTGAATTCTGTTCTTATTTCCTTCTGTGAATTACATTGCCTAGAATCTATGCAGTCTTGTAGTCTGTTTCAAATTCCTATATTTTTTCTTTTTATTGGTTCGTTTGAACCCATTGTTTACATTCGAAAGGCTACAACACTATTTGTTCTTTCATTTAAACTCATTCAAAACTGTTTTTTTATAATTCTTTTTTTTGTTTGGGTCATGAAATACTTATAGCCAAAATATATGATATGTTAGTGCAGATTTTCTTTTAAGAGCAAAACTAACCTTTTTTAAATATATTTTCAAATGCGTTGGCATCAATGTCGTCTCCTTGTTCAAATTTTGAAGTTTCGTGATCTTCGCGTAGTCTTTGTGATTCTGAAAGAATTTGCGTCTTCTTTGTTATATCAGCAGAAGCTACTGGTGGTTTGTTGTCATGTTCTTGTAAAATACCATCTTCTGTAAAGTTTATGAATTTTCAAAATACAATATGTTTCTTTTTGTTTACTTTTACTCAAGCTTATGAATAAAAAATATAACTTAACTGAACGACGATGAAATTAGTATAAATGTACTAATGCGTTTGATGCTAGTTGACACAATAATAACACTATCGATATACAAATATTATATATTCTTCGCACTATAAATAAATGTGGAAACTTTCCAATCATTATACTTGTTTCAATACAAAATATACCCCAGCCTAATCTTATCCCTCGTAAAACTACACCTGAAAAAAAATCTGATAAACCTATCTGTCACATTAAGGAAATAACAAGTAAAAAAAATCAATCAAACTGTGTTTGATATGACTTAAAATTCGAAACACAAATTGAATTCGGCAAATCTAAAAGCAATGAATCATGTGTAAAGCAAATAATAAAGGAATTGTACAAACAGAAAACTAGGGTCAATGTCTATAATGAGGACACTACATAAATGACGTGATTCTTGTATGTCGTGATAACGACCAACCATTTCATTGCAACAGGAAATGCTTTGTTAATATATCAATTAAGGCTGTGTTTACTTTTACGACATATGGTCGAGATAGGCTTGTGTTCACGTAAAACTTGTTTAACCCAACCATAAATTGTGGCTGTAACAATTCAGAATATCTGGTCATGTTTGTTTGTACGTCTATTTTTTCGGACGAGTCGATTTTTGTGATTGGTGTGCTCTTTTGTACTTTCCAATATTATTATAATGGTTATTCCTGCTAACCTTTTTATATATTATTGAACATAACCCTGACAGAGTAGTTAATTTTACCATACTTATGTCTTATCAAAGGAGTCGTTGTAGTGGACACAAGCTCTTGGCAAGCAATCAAAATGGTAATGATTTGAAACATTCACAATACACAAAATCCCAATCGTCACTTTAGTGTTCAAACTTTCAAACGTTACTTTTAGTTTATTGGTGAGTGTAAGTCAAGATATGAAGCAAATCCTGCAGTTTTCGCATTGTCCTCAGTTGGAAGCTTATTTTGGATAAGTGAGATAGATTAATCTCCTTCACTTATTTAAGAAATATTTCCTACTTTAAACATAAAGGAAAGAAAAATCTATCTGAACGAAGTTTTCTGGAATCTCTAAAAGATCATGTTTACCTGATCCTTTATTACTTATGTTCCAAATGGAAAGACATAATATTCTGATCTATATGTTTTCTTTAAGTATGAAAATATTAAAGAATTAAGTTCGCTGAAAATAAAAAGTGTCTTATCTTCCCTCAACTCAATGCATAAGCATTTTAGGGTTTAGGTTAAAAATTTCATCAAAGATACCAGGATCATAATTTTGCACGCCAGACGCGCGTTTCGCTTTCGTCGCATAAATCATTATAATAATCATTAAAATATTTTTTTTAAGTTACGACAAACAAAATAAATATGTCTTCGATATGATAACTGCACTTGAATATTGAGATTTCGTTTATCGCTATATTATCGGAATTCCAATGGGGAATAACTGTGCACCACGTATTGCGGACTTGTTTCTGTATTGTTACGAATCACAATTTATGTCGAAATTCTGATATTTTGGCTCTCAATAATGACGACTTCAGTATGTACAGTAAAGAGGCTTCTCTTGTTTAATTTACTTTAAATAAAGCTGATACTAACAATGAACACTGCCCTTTCCTGGATCTTGATATATATATATCTAACGAGAAGCTTAATACTAAAAGTTACGATAAAAGAGATGATTTTTCATTTCCTATTGTTAATTATCCGTTTTTAGATGGTGACAATCCCGTGGCACCATCGTATGGTGTATATATATATATCAAATTGTTCGATGCTCTCATGTATGTACAACGTATTTGATTTTATCAAAAGAAAACTCTCTATTACTGAAAAATCATTTCGATATCAAAAACTTTTACTAAATTTTATCGTAGGAACAAGGACATCATTCGTAAATGTAAATCAACGTGCAGACATCTTATACGTTCAAGTACTTCACATCCCATCTTTCAAGTTTATTAAATACAAAACACAAAAATGTCAAGTCATTAAAAATGGCATTTTAGAGATTAATATTGATTCACTCATATGGTCTTTGCATCAGAAATAAACACATTTATTCTAAAATCAGTTGTTGGCATGCTACGGGTTATGTTCTTCTAGTATAATTTATGATGGCATGATACTAACGGGATAGGTTGTGGTTGATTTTCATATCAGTTTAATTGAGGTCTGGAACTGGCATGTCAGTAACTGATAGTAGTCCTTAGTTTATTTATGTTGATCATTGTCATTTTGCTTAGTTTCTTCTGTTACATATTATAACATCGGACTCGGACATCTTTTAAACTGAGTTTTACTTTGCGTATTGCTGTGTATTTGTTTATTCCACATTGGCTAAAGGTATAGGGGGAGGGTTGAGATATCACAAAACATATTTTACCCCGCCAAATTTTTTGCGCCTGTCCCATGTCAGGAACCTCTAGCCGTTGTAATTCTTGCGTGATTTTTAAAATTTTGATTCATGTGTATGTTTCGAACTTAACTTAATGTGGCGTTCATTTCGCTGAACTAGTACACATGTATATATTATTGTTTAGGGGCAAGCTGAAGTCACCTCTGGATTCGGGATTTTCTCGCTGCGTTGAAGACACATTGATGGATATGGGCTGTATTTTGTTCTTTGGTCGGTTCGTTGTCTCTTTGACACATGACCTGTTTCCATTTTCTATTCTATAAGCTTACCGTATTTATTGAGATATTGAAAAATCATACGACTCGGCAAGGGATATGTTAATGATGAGAAACGTGAAATTGACAATTTAAAAGTAGACATCATCACGTTCGTCATATGGTTTAGTTTGAAGTCGTCACAAGTTTACTTGGGATTTGTGCTATGCAATCACTCACTAAAATTTGGGTATTTGAGTGACTTGACATCATTAATAAAACTGAAAAATAAAATGTAATTACAAAAATACCGAACTGCAAGGTAAATTCATACACGGGAAATCCATAAAGACTCACAAACCAAATGCTCCAATATATCAAACGAAGGAACGACTGGAAAACAACTGTCATGTTCCCGACTTTGTAAGCCATTTTCTGACAAAAATGGTATGTTAAACCTGGTTTAATAGCTAGCTTAACCTCCCACTTGAATGACAGTTGTATAAAGTTCCGTTAAATTGACAAAATTATGTGAGCAACCCAAACAGACATTATTGGTTAATGAGACAATAATTAGGATCCAGCAGCCAACATTGTGTAAACATACATCATAGATATACGGCATTACTAAAATCAAATAAACCAAACAAACATATAATTAAATCTAACAAAGACGCCATAAGAATTTTTTTTGTAGCTGATAGTTATCTGGTTTCCTATCACACTCACCCGATAAAGTACAAATAGAGTAAAATACTAATACGAGAGTACACAAAATGAAAATAAAATTATAAAACTTTCATGCGTCCGAAGCGCCCCTCTGGATCTATACCTGTATCAGGATTGCCCAAATCCAAAAGTTTGAAAGCGGGTGTATAAATACGGAGCCATTTTTTAAGTTGTACGACCAAAAGGGACATAATAGTACACAAAAAAAGTTAAAGGGAGAACTGCAGAGGTAAATTAAATGATACACAACGTCGGCACCTAGAATCCATAACGCAAGACCATCCTATATCATTGTGAAGTTGACACTGAATACACTAAACCTTTCGATGAACTTTTTATGAAAAAAAGACAAGACGTTCTGTTACAAAACCCTGGCTCATCATTGTTTTGCTCAGATACCGATGACGTGTTGCAAAGTCTGAGTATTAACTGCAATCTTTGAATATCGTATGAATTTAGAAATGTATACTCCATACGCGGATGAAGTTGCTATATCGCTGCAAAGGTGAGGATATTAATAATTTCAAAATAGTAATCGTTTCGATTGTCATAGACTCTGGTACTGCGATGACCGCTAGAGTCCAATTCGTGATAAACATTGTGTTTAATTGTATGTCTAGAAATCAGGCGGAGTAAGTTGAAAAGTGTGGATTGTTAATGAAGACAATATCATCAATACATATGTATGTGAAATTAAATGATCTAGCTTCTTTGTTTTTCAAGTTTTTTTTAAAGTAACTGAAGGAAATCCGATTCATATAAAAAGAAGAAAGGGTCAGCAAGGGGAGGCGCTCAGTTGAATCTCATAGGAATGCCAAAAACCTGCTGGAAAATTCTACCTCCAAATTCAACAAATATGTTGTCAATGAGAAACACCAGCATACTGATCACTTGTTCTTCGGTGTAGCATGTTTTATCCTAGGGTTAATTTTTAACAAAATAACACGAATTGTACCCCAAAACAATAAATTTGGGGTTCATGGTACCCTTTTCACGACGAAAAGGTATGTTGATTATTTTTTAAGACGGGTTTTCAATTTTTCATGTGGTATATATGGTGGTGTAAGGGATGGAAAAATCGAAGGTTTTGATAGAATTTATTTCAAATTAGGACCGAGATTAAAAATTTTCCAGACGTTGTTAAGAGTTCTTTAGAATCTGCATATTATTAATGCCACTACGTTCTCATCCTTATCAAAAGTTATGTTTTGTACGTGGGATTACCCGAGTGTTCATATATTCCTAATTCTTTGATAAGAGACTCGTAGTAATTGGATTTACAGACAAAATCAATATTGCTTAAAGCTTTTTCTTCAGGAACAACAACATATTTAACGTGATAAGAGGATATATATTTCAGAGCTTCTTTGTCTCTGAATACGGGCTTTGGTCTATCATTCACACAACTTTCAATTTGTGGATTCGACAGTGTTTCAAAGACATACATGATTTCACCCATTCTGACAGAGTGTCTAGTTTAACTTTTTCTCGCTTTGCCCATGCTCTGACGTAGTCCTCAACAGAGTCCCTAACCGGGGTTATCTAAATTAAGGACCATGATATATAACCTTCCGGAGATGTGCATGTTAAATAATGTATAGATCACCAGTAGCTACTTCGCCTGAGGGGTTTTAAATATATGGAGAGTGCACGGGAACATTCCAATGTCAGAGGTTTTTTTAAGTATACTAAAAGTTTTCATACCTGGAGAGCAGTACACGATTAGCTATGGAATAAAATCTGTTTTAGTACCTAAAAGGACAATATTTAAACATCTCACTCGATGTTTAATTTTTTTTATCTTTAAAATACGGTTATTGAAAGGAGGTATAAGTGTTAATGGATTGTTTCTATTTTCTATATTTACGAGCTCTATAAATAAAATCGCTATGACAATTAGGGTGTGGTATCCGTTAGTAATACAATTTTGAAAGGTACAGCCAAATTGCCAAACCAAATATATGTTTCAATCGGAGTATTTAGTTTAATATATAACAAAAGCACTACCATAGACAAAACGATAAAGTTAAGTATTTACTTGATACGTCATAACCAAATTATAAACGACACTAATCTTCCAACTAATAAAAACATATATGCGTGTTTGTCTTTTTAATTAGTTATAACTGATTCATTAAATTGATTTTTTTTAAATCTCAACATATATCTAAAGAGGTAGTGTGGTAAATTCGAAATTGACTAGATCGTTACGGTCAATCGTATGGCATGCATTTATACAATGAAAGATCGTCAGGCCACACATTTATGTATTTTTTCATTACAGTGCAGGGGAGGACTGTCTCCTTCTAGTTTATAGTAATAACTATTCTTTAGAATAATGAAATAATAAAACTGAAACCTGTTGGAATCCTTTTTTTTTCATTTAAGTCCCCCCTTTCATCACAATAACAAAAATCATTGATGTGAAGTTAGCATGTATATATAGTGGTTCAGAACATGTTTTTATCTAATTTCCATGAATAATTTGTACATATTTTTCGATGATTTTCATTTGCGCTAAAAAAAAATTCGTTTGCGCAACACATCATATTTCATTTGCGACAATAATACAGTTGAATAGCAAAAATGATATTTATATATTTTCACTATTCAATTTATATTATTTATCTCTTCCGTTCTCCTGCATAACATGTTATCCCTTGTCACCACTAGGAGGTTTCTAAAAAATGTTACTTATAAGGTTAAAACACAATATCTTCAGCTTTGTTTGCCTTATTAAAATATGTATGTCCTAATCTGTTGTCACAGTTATATATAATTTAAAAATAAGAAAATGTGGTATGATTTCGAATGAGACAACTATCCACCAGACTATCCACCAGATACCAAATGACGTAGATGTAAGCTAATGAGCAAAACCCATACCGTATAGTTAGCTATAAAAAGCCCGACATGACAAAATGTAAAATGATTCAAACGAGAAAACCAACGGCCTGATTTATGTATAAGATTTGTCTCTATTCTTCAATACACTGGATAATATGTACGTCTTATTATAAAAAAATGCGGATTTATTACTTTCTGATTGAATTATGTCCATCTTATCACATTGAAAATGTCAACACTTACAATTTCATTCCCAGGTGACAGAAATGTTTGAAAAATCAGTATGAACTCTCTTAAATTCTCAGGGCGTACCCTTCAAAATTTCTTATACGAGCCTCATATTCAAAATACAATCTACATCGGAATTTAATCTTCATTTATGCTACCTTAAAAAAATTTTGCAAAATAAGTATTGAAATTTTGGGACAAATGAAATGAAATCTTGTGGCTCAAATGAAATAAAATCTTGTAGCACAAACTAAATGAAATAAAGCCAGCTGAAGCAAATAAATTAGTTTTTTATGACAATAGAACAAAGTGTTATAGGCTGTAATAATAGTTCTAATATTTAATAAAAATGAACAGCTATCTCAACACGAAGGTTGCCATGAAGCGTAGGTTTTTCTTTAACTTACTTGTCTAGGTTCAATGATATTAATATAATACTGGATCTGTCAGAGTTCAAGGTAAATAACATAGTATAGTTTAATGTAGATAAACTGTATACCGCCATCTTGGATTGTAAAATAGCAGTACACAATCGGTCTAGTTCTTTCCTTACATTTGCAAGTCTTGAGACAGATTGGAAATTAATGTGTAAGACTGTTTATTTAGATAAAGAAAAATAAAGGATTTGTGGCATTTTATAGACTGTTTTAACAAATACCAAATATTTGTTTTTGTTAAAATCAGTTTTTAAAACTTAGCCATTTAACTGGAAATAACTCTTTAGTAAATTTTTATATAGAATGTTAATGAAATTTTCATTTTTTACTTGTAGCAAGAAAATAAGTTCGGTAACACCATTTTTTTCTTTTTATTTTCTTTAGGTCAAATTACAGTAAATCGGCGATGTCCCAGATTTTCATAAAATTTGGAATACAATTTTCGCTCGTTGAACTATAACTGAAAATTTTAAAAATATTGCATCAATTTGCAAACAATATCTGAAATATTACTGATTGAAATCTTTCAAAATAGGCGAACATTTGAATAGAAAGCACTTAAAATCGGCGATCAAATCTCCAATTTCAAATCCATAGATTATTCTTAAAAAACTATATACATAAGTTTCCGTTTGAATGATGTAAAATAATATTAGGGTCACCGACTTTATTTTAACGGTATACATCATCCAAAGTGGTGTTCTAGGTGAAAAAAATTACCACAAAATGTCGAAATAATCGTAACGTCATCGCGTTGTAGGCCGTAAAATGTCGATTTGTTTACGTTTTTCACTACCAACTAGGTGACAGATTGATTAATAGACCATTAACGAAGTCGGTGACGATATGAATATTTTATATCATTAAAATGGAAATTTATGTATCAACAGCATATAGTGTTCAAGAAAAATCTATGGATTTGAAATTTAAGACAAATTTAAGAACGTTTTTGTCGATTTTATGTGCTTTCTATACAAATGTTCACCTTTTTTGAAAGGATTCAATCAGTAATATTTCAGAAAATTAAAGAGATAAATTCATTATTTTTTCGATTTTCAGTTAAAGTTTACCAAAATCTTTGACATAGCCTATTTACTGTTACTTGACCTTAAACATATTATAAAATCTGTCTTCTGATTTTTTTTAAATCAATCATAGATTTCTTTGTATTCACAAAAAGCGTTTTTTCATGAATAATCTATGCAAAATTTTGTAATTATTGCACGACGTAGCTTTAAAAATAGCACGGTGACCCAAACTTTTTATTAAATTTTTGAAAACAGCATAGTAAAATTTTACATTTTTGTCAAAGTATAAGAAAATTCTATCTGAGGAAATATATAGCGATGATCCACCTTAAAATGATCGTTTTGGAATGTAAAATTCTTAAAACTTCATTTGCAAATAAAACAGGGTTTTGTTGAAAAATCTCTTAAGTCATTGATTTTCGATTCAAGTGGCCTTCATTTTTTTAAAAGTTAAAATAACAAATATATCTAATGTTTTCTATTTATATCAACTTTACATTGTATCACCTACTATGTGCATTATTATTCTACTTAAGAAATCATGACATTTTGATATGTTGTTTACCATGTACAATCCTTATTTATATATTGGTGGAGTGCAAGGTAATTTATTCTTCGCTTCGAACAACATCTCTGCGTTTGGTTTCTTGAACTTCCCGGGCTAAACCCTGGACTTTTCGGAGAGTGACCAACACATTAGCATATCGATATATACAGTGCACCGATGTATTTGTACAAAGACTCGGACACTTACATGTATCATAGCAGGGTTAACAGATCTGTACATGTAAATTTGACCAGCTACCTTTAACATGCAGCCGCACAGGTTCTGCATTTATTGTATTCAATCTCAAATTACTAAATATCTTTTGTTCAATTTATAATTCCCAAGTATAAACTGAAAAATTTGGTAACATATCGACCCAGTCAGCATTGATTTAATTATTTATCCTTGTTCATGCGATCCCTCTGTGGTCGTATAATGGTATAATTTGTTGATAGGTTTGGGTATCGTTGTTTTCATTATCTTCTGTAGACACTTTTGATATAGTAGACCAATTTTTTCTGAAAATTTATTTCAAACATTTTCTAAGCAAGTAACGGTAGTGCTTTTTTTTTTTATTAAGATTCGAACCCCCTTTGCCTCTGAAAATGATCCAAAAAGGTGAAACATACTCACATGTTTTGATCTTGTTGATGTATAACATTTTTTAATCAGATATAATGCGTGTTTATTCTTTGTATTCTTTTATTTAATACTTGTCCACAGCATGTCATGTCAATAAATTTGAACTACATATGGTTTTAACTGAAAGACTTTAACGTCTTTACTGATTTTTTTTAATTCTTGAAACCATATTTTAACTCGGCCATGATTTTAAAATGAAAGTAGTAGCCATACTTTTCATCTAAAATGGACCAAAGTGGCTAACACGTGACTATATCAACAATGTGCCGTGTTCACGTTCGCTTTTAACATACGTTTTTTCAACTTAACTTTGCAAATAAGCTGAATCTAGTTGAGCTATTTTTCATTAAATTATATTTGGAAATGCTATTATAAGTATACACAGACAAACAATCAAAACGTACTTGTTTCACCAGTAGCCGTGTCGTTGCTATCGTTCTGCGTCCATCTCAACCCTGGAAAATGACAATGTAGTTACAATACATGTAGTAGAGCATATTAAATCCAATAATCACGTCTCTTCTGTAAAGTATCATACTTATAGACGCGCTTTTCTGGATTTATCTTCATTAGGAGCCATTTAACCAAAACATTTGAAAGCTAAAAATGTATAAATACATGAATACGTGAGGAGGTGTTTGAACAAAAAGGCAAAATATACGTAGTATAAAAAAGACTAGATAGATCATTCGAAGTTCAATATCGTTAGTTTGATTTAAACGTATGATTTATATTTAAATTAGTAAGCACGTCGAGTGGTCTACCTCCATTAGGTTCGCTAGAGACCAAACCAAAGAATCAAGCATTTTAGAACATTCAAACCCAATAAATCTGACCATTAAAGCCACAGTAGTCAAAATTAACATAACCCGAGGTAGTATCAGTCTTAGCTTAAGTAGTATTCAGGTTATTTGTATAGGAATATTTGGACACATACTAAAACAATTGAGATAAGATCATGACAGACAGATTATTTGCAATTCAAGAACTTATAATTTTTGGAAGGGCAAATATTATTATACCACCCTCTGTCTTCGAGATACGTTTAAAGCAGAAGAAGATAACAACATCAAAGACATTACCAAACAGCGTATTCATATTGCGAGGGCAATAAAAAGAATAAGATGATTGTGAGTTGTTTTTAAAATTATAATAACGTTCAAGAATTGTATGCAAGAAAAGTTATGTTTGCACAATCTATTGATATATAATATTTGCCTTTCAATTACAAACTTGACATTAAGATGTTTTGAAATTAACTTCATCTTGTGAGTGAATAGGTGAATTGACACTTCAATAAACTTTTTCAAAATAACGATAATTATCATAAAAGTAGTATTTTGAAGGGTGCGTTCTTCCTGGTTATTTATTGGTGACTATGAACTGTCATAATATCCTGCTAGTTTGGAGTTATATTTTACTTGTATTGATATGTGTGAGAAAATATTGAGCTGTATACATTGGATATATTACTTTGAAGTAATATTGTGTTCTAAAGCATGTTTCCTCAGAATTGTTGAATGAAAAGCCTTAATAAATACTAGGTTTTACTGAGTTCATATATTTGGTGACATTATTGTGTATATTTATTACATTGAACAGTTAACATAATGTATTGCACTTGCATACTAGGAACGTTTGTATCCTCAACAGAGTTTTTACATCTCTGTATTCTTATTTTTGACTAAAACAACTGCCGGATTGAATGGATATGCAAATGGTGAAATATTGAACTCATTTCTCCTATTTTTAGTCCGAGTTTTATCATATCCGTTAGTAAAACATTGATAGACATAGAACTTTTAATGCTTATAAAATGTTAAAATTACAACTCTCTCCTGCTCGTAAGATAAATAAAGTAATACATACAGCTTGTGGCAAATTGCCTTCCCTGTCGCAAGTAATTCATGTTATGTTCCTCGTCAGCCGCCGGTTAAAACCTGTGCAAAAATAATGAAATTGAGACTGTAGTGATTTAACTGCGTAAAATATTTTACACATAAAGAATGTATGTTGCTCGAAAACTCAACTGTAGGTTTATATAATCAATACAAGATTATATATCTTACCTTGAATTATTAATGTCATACGTTATGAATATTATTTCCTCATTTTAGAACTTTTAACTTTTGAATGGGTATTTAAAAGCTACATTAAAATTCATTTTCTAATATTTTGCTCAACAATGAAAGAAAAACCTAGCAGACGTTATCATTACAAATTCTAATAAGGAAGCGAATACAGATTGAATCCATAAGTTATATCCATATTTTTTCGTTTTCATGGATGACTTTTATTTATTTTGTTACAAATAGTGTACTGACGTACAGGATTTTTGAATATAAAAGGACAAGGTGCGATAAGGTCTAATTTGGCCCGATTTTTGTTAATATTGTTTTATTCATGCATGACCTCACTAAAAAGGCACTTATACGCGTTTTCGTGAAATATCTATACATTTTAGTCATGTTAAGGTATACTTAAAGCACATGCAAGTACCAACTAAATAATTGACCAAACCGTTTTTCTATATGAACGCCACTTTTCATGTTAATAGTTTGTAGTAAATGCGTTTGCTCAATATTTCCCGCTAACGAATATTTGTGAAAATATGCAACTTTTGTTATTTTTTGCAGAGAAATTAGAATTTTGCTATCTTTCGATAACTGTTTTAGAAAAATAATTCATGGGATATCATTGGTCTTTTGGTATGGATATGCATCGGAGTTCATGCAAAGTTTAAATTATGACAATATGGCCTCAGTCATGCAACAGTGATTTTGAAAATATATTTGCATTTTGATTTGTGTTGGAAAACTTTACGTTCCGCTATATAAATGATGTCCTCTCACTAAATAATTCAAGTTTGGTGACTATGTTGAACGCATATATCCCTTTAAACTTGTTATTAAGGATACCATATATAGAGTTTAGTCTTCATATCTTGAATACATCATAAAATTGACAATAAGGGTCGGTTAAGAGCAAAACTTTATAACAAAGGAGATGATTTTAGCATCTAAATTGTGAACTTTCCATTTCTTTGTAGAAACCTTCAAGCAGCGCCGGCATCTGGAGTATTTATCTCTCAAGTGACACGATATCCATGAGCTTGCGTTTCTACCATGATTTTCCTGATAGAGGGTTACAAGTAAAAAATGAAAACAACACGCTATGAAACCAAGGGTTCCAAGTGGTAAAGTTGAGGTCATCCCTTCTACAACTTTACGGAAACCATCACAAGTTGGTTGACTGTTATCGAATATCTGTTTCACAGATGACGACGAATAATTTCAAATTCTCGTTTCCACAATTTTGTCTTCTTTTCCTCGAATGTGAATGTGCAATATGAATGCGCAACACGACGGGTACCACACGAGGAGCTGGATTTGCCAACCCTTCCGGAGCACCTGATTTCGTGTTCTTTTTATTCTAGATTTGTAGATTTTCAATGATAGCATAACACTGTATATTTTCATTCTTCCGCCATTTTATGGTAACTTTTTATGTTTCACGCAATGCTTATACAATAGGTCACGGTCTATTTAAATGTTAGGTTATGACATATTTAACAGAGTATCAGTGTTTCTAGTCGATTGATCACTCGTTTTCAAAACAAATGTTATCAATGAAAGCACTAAAACTTAAAAGCTACAATCGGATCGTAACCTTTAAGGTTTCATTAAAGATATGTATGCCATGAACGATCTGCTACCAAAGAAACATTTCTGTTAACGTTATTTAAAGGGGCATTAGCTACGAGATTAAAAAAAAATAATAAAAGATGATTTTGTTTTGTTCAATCAATAATGAAAGTGGAATAGTGAAATAATAAGTCCCTTTTAGCAGCCAATTTGGTTCAATTTTGTCAAAATAAGCCAAGAAACATGGTTGATGAATTATTCACTTGCAAGTGAATAATTCGACCTCATTGAATCCGTATTCATGTGACATTCAATTTAACCCCTAAGCTGGGCATGAGTAACACATTCATTCAGCTATTAAAAGGAAAAGAATGTCACCATTGAAATTGAAACAAGGATGAATCATTTGGTTGACTGATTCGATCCACACAAAATCATTCTTATACAGGTAAAAACGATGACTAACATACTTTTTAACCTCCAATATGAAATCAAACCGACTAAAAAAAATCCAATTACACGTGGTCAATATCTGTTTATATTTATATTTATGTTTATATCGGGTTATATGACCGTCGGCAATCTTTGGAGGTCATCTCGATGGTTAAGTAGATGGCGTCTAGATAAAAATACACACGAAATATTGATACATATTATCGATTTCATGCATTATTAATTGTTTATTATTGACTTTTTGTAATTTGAATATACGTTTTAGTATGTTATAAATCAAATATGAGAATTTGAGTCAAATCGGTGAACATGAATCTGACAGCTAATGCCCTTTAATTAATACTATATACAAGATTGAATTTGGTCAATCAACAAGTTATTGCTATGGTGGACAGCCATAAACAGACTGCTAAAAATGAGGTCTTTCAGATTGCGCTGTTAGATGTGTTTATCGCAAATTTTACTGAAATATTGATTAAATACTCTATAGAATTACGATTTAGAACATAAAACGTGAATAAGGTAATGTGTTACTGCTTTGCATACTGAGAAATGTTTACAATCAGGTTTGTGCATAAACTTAGAACGATGTCTGGAAATTAGATAGTTAGATCATGAAATTTCCGTACTACATATGGAAAATGTTGTAGTTAACTGAACTATTTTGTTTATGGTCAATGATAAAAAGTACGGGAATATTTTTTGAGGGAAAAATTTGATTTGATACTAATATGTCACTGTACATGACCTTTTGTGAATGTTTTCAGACCGAACATGAGCGACAAACAAATGTAACGGAGCAAAGCTGATTTTTATGAAAAAAGCTATCATATCGAATATTGCCCGTCACAGAATTTTCACACCAGCTTGCATTGCAAAAGAAGTTACAAAAAAAAAACAATCTTTTTTAGAAAATTTCTTTGCCAACAAAGGTCTTGATGCCGTCAATTTAGCAATATCCTTCGTCATTAATCAAATCAATGGAAAATGCATCCTTAGTATAACGTCTATTCCTGTCATATCTTATATCACACCTGTTACATTTATGTGTCGGTCAAGTACTAGACCTCTTTCATAACTATTAACATCAATTGTATACACACTCAAAGCTGGGCTTCAGAGTTATTGTGAAACTACTTTCTCTTGGGCGGTGTAAATCAGATGTTGAAGCTAAAAATGTCCTTAGATCTGTTAAAGTTCAAACAATCTAACCTTCTTTCCTCTTGCAATAGTCTAATAACATTTGACGCCTCTATCCTGCACAGTAGTATTTCTCATTCTAAATTTCAAAACACATTGCAAGAATAAGTTAAACTTTGTTTTATTAAAAAAAATGACCAACGTAGAAACAAATATCTTGGTCGAGGAAGGGAGATCTCGAAGCTTCCATTATCCTTTAACTTCATGTTCCGCTGTGAAGGTGATGTCCTCAAACTAAATAATTCAAAGTTTTGTGACTATGTTGAACGAATCTATCCCATCAAATTTGAAATAAAGGATACCACAGATACAGTTTAGTGTGCCTCATATCTTGATTTACATCTAGAAATTGAAAATGAGGATTGGTTGATTATAAGACTTCATCAAAATGGATGAGTCCAGCATCCCAAATGTGAACTTTCCATTTCTATTTAGCAACATTAAACATCGCCTGCATATGGATTATAGATCTCCTAGTTGATATAATGTTCCAGAGCTTGCGTTTCCTATCATGAATTCTTTAATAGAGGGTTGCTGCTTACAAGGAAGCTTCTGAAACAAGGTTCCAAATTATGAAATGAAGTGATACCTTCGAAGGTTTAACGGACTACATCACGCGTTGGTTGACCATTATGGAATATCTGTGTCACAGATGATTACAAATATGTTCCGACAGTTTTGGACGCATTCCCGCCATCTCTTCCTCGATTGTGACATCGCAAAACGAGATTTATGACCGGATTTGTACTTATGATGAATACATGATGGTTGACACTAGCTGAACAGGATCTGCATACTCTTCCGGAGCACCTGAGATCACTCGTCAGTTTTTAAGTGGGATTCGTGGGGTTCAATCTAATTTTTATAATGTAATGTAAACCAAAAGCCGAGATGCATCATTCGAGATTCAATATCGTTAGTTCGATATACACGTATGGTTTATATTTTTATCGGTAAGCACGCAACTTGTTTCTAGAGTTACCTTCATTAAAATTGCCAGAGACCAAAACTAAAGAATCAAACATTTTAAAAGAAGTCGAAATGAACAATTCTGAACATTAAAGCCATAAAGTCAAGATTAATATTACCTGAGATAGTATCAATCTTATCGTAAGTATAATTCAGGTTATTTGTATAGGAATATTTGGACACATTCTAAAAAAATGGAGATAGGATTATGACAGACAGAGGATTTTTATTTCAAGAACTTATAATTAAGAGATAGGCAAATATTATTATACCACCCTCTGTCTTCGAGATACATTTAAAGCAGATGAAGACGACAACATTAAAGATATTTCCCACCAGCGTATTCATATTAAGCGGGCAATAAAAAGAATGAAATTGTGTCTTTATATAAAGTAAAAGTTGATCGAAACTTTGAACAATTCTATGCAATTAAAGTTATTTATGCAAAATGTTTTGATATATATACTTTGCCTTTCAATTATAAACATAATAAAGTTTTTTTGGAATGAATTCAACTTTTTAGTGAAAAGTCGAATTACCTCATTGACAAATTCCTTCAAAATAACAATAATTACTGTAAAAGAAGTATTGTTGAAGAGTAAGATCTTCCTAGTTATATATGAGTGACTGTACACTTTGTTTAACATTAACATTTTGGAGAATATTCTTCTCGTTTGGAGTCACATTGCAATTATAGTGATTAG